AGTCCAATCAGATGGACAAATAATAACCATTATGAATTGAATTTGTTGCGGAGTCCACTATTATCCCTTGCCATGAGTCAATGTCTATGTATAACCATGATGATGATTAAGAACTTTCACCCAAGAAAATCCCACAAAATCACTCGCTTTCAACTTTATAAGGCTTTTGTGAGGGCTTAGGAATCAAACATTTCGCACATTTGGGTCTTCTCAAATAATTTGATGTCATTAACCCATTTTCATCCTGCCAAAGAGACGGGTCAAAGACTCTCTCTACTTTTTTCAACTTAACCATATATTGCATAATTTCATTACAAAAGACATCAGTACGGGTCAAAGACTCTCTACTTTTTTCAACTTAACCATATATTGCATAATTTCATTACAAAAGACATCAGTGGAACCATATACTTATATATCGTATTTTATTTTCAACTTAACCATATATTGCATAATTTCATTACAAAAGACATCAGTGGAACCATATACTTATATATCGTATTTTATTTTATCAAATTTCCGACGTAATATTTTTACAATCTTTAACAAATGCGCATTACCTTAATCAAAAGTCTGATTTGCACTTGAGCACAAGTTCTGAAAGCAAACATAACCCACAATTAATGTATCATTAAACAAAAACCTCACATGCTTAGAATAATCAAGCAAATAAAAAAGAAAGAAATATTATATTTCCTTCTCTTCTTGTAAAACTATTATTTCTGGGAACTAGGGTTCATATAAATATATAAAGTCATCAGAGTGAGCAGCAACAGTCCAGCCAACCAGTTCAGGTTTTCGAAACAGTCTGCAAGGAGCAGCTGTGGACAAGGGCTTTAATATCAACACGTGTGTTTAGTTTTCTTGGAAACTTCAATCAGATCCACCGTCAAAACAGTGCCAAGAAAAATCCCAAGACATGCTTGGGACCCTTCATTCATTCAATACCTTAATTATAAGTCTCAGGCTCAGCTCAGACGATCCCCACCTCATCAGATCTTCGTGTCTTATTTTGGTTGGTCAGTCAATCATACACCAACATAGTCTAATAATGGTCTCTAGGCCCTCTCAAATCTCACAATTCTAAAGAGTCATATTTTTTCCTATTTTTAGTGTTATTTATTATTATTATTATTATTATTATTATTATTATAGCTAGAATAGAATATTGGGTAAAGTATTTCATACTTAATTGGTTTCTTCGAAACATGAGCAAATAATAAGTGATCATAATAAGATACCAGCAAGCAAGCGAATATCTTGGATCAGCAACTCTACTATCAAAATATGGTGTTTAGTATCATTTGTTTTGTTACAATCTTAATAACAAGTTACCTTAAATTTTTTAAAACCATTAATTAAAAACTCCTTACTTATTACGGAGTACACTCTGCGGTGAAGTTGACATATATCGATCAAATACGTTATTACTTTTTTCAATAGAATTTTTGTTGATTTGGTTAGTCATAATTTTGTGCGTATGTCGAAATTTATACGACGTTGTTTGGGAGCTTAAGCCTTTTTTTTCTTTCCTTCTTTTGGTTGGGAGTTTAAGTGTTTGTAGGTTTAGGGTTTGGTATTTAAGGCTTGTGGTGAAAATATAATTAAATGAAAGTTTAAAATGACATAGCCATAGACATACATTTTGTTGTTGTGAATAAATGGAATTTATACAACCAAACAAACAGTTGCAAGTTCGGTATGCAAACAGTGGGCTCATTAAAATCTTCCCAGAGATAACCCAATAGGACAAACTCGAGGTTAAAAAAGAGTAATACACATACCATTACAAAGGTTAAAAAAGAGTAATACACATACCATTACAAAGACAATCACACACTCCTATTCTAAAAGGAAAAACACCAACACACAAATTGCTGGCGTGATGCCATCCCCAACACAAATGTTGAAGTAGCTAATCCATCGATATTAAAATTTAAAAAATTCATCAAAATCAAGTTCAAGAAAAATACAAAATTTCTAGGAGGTAATATTGTACTGGGAAGCTTATGTCGAAACATTATTATTCTGAGGCTAAATAAAAGCTTCTTTTCTTTTTGACACAAAGGCGATAGTATTTTATTGAATAAGAGGGATGAAACAAGTACAAAACCTAGCATTATCTTAGAGAATTAGGCGAGTATCTCTACACCAATGACCATTATGGTCTTCGGCTAACAAGTAGCCTATTCTCTCAACCTGATTGATAAGGAACTTGGCCCCGTTAGAAAGCCCCCCAAATCCCCCTAAGATCAAGCCCAAGAAACTCATAGTTACATTCCTCCAATAAAAGATCAGTGATAAAATCAAGAGATTCTTCAAACCAAGTAAGCGAAGAATCAATATGCAAAGCAAAACGATCAATACGATGAGCAACTCCATTATCATAGCGACAGACATGGGTGATTTGAGTCTACTACAAAATCTAATTGAATCTAAACATTTTAATAGAATTAAATATAACATAATATGAATGATAAAGAAAAAATATGATAAAGTTAGATTGGATATGATTTGATTGAAATTCCTTGGTGTGACAGTCATACTAAAATATTCTTCAAATAAAGGTGTTGAACGTTTAATATAAAGATTTAATTCAATCTGCAAAAATCATCCAAACTGATCAAAATGATTTGGATTGGATTTGGAGAGCGGTAATCTAATGGATATTTGAATAATTAACTCTGAATGGATCATAATTTTATCGTATTTACTCGTCACCAGATGTCATTTATCTCCATTTTGTTGAAGGTGAATCTCATGCTTAATTTGTTTTTATATGTTTTGAGTCCATCTAGTCTTTTTTATCTACCCACCCAATATTTCCATCCCAGTAAAAATTTAAGAAAGAAAGATCATCAATCACTTCAATGGTAAAATCTCTTCTCACCTCCATTCCTTAAAGATTATCAGCCCACTCTTTCTCTTCCACCATGCTTTGTCCATAAACCCTAAGCCATTCTCACATCAAAATTTCCATGTTTTTTATCATTCAATTTTGGTCTAAGAATTTATGGCTATTTATAGAATAGGCTTAAATACTTGTTTTTTTGTCATTGGGATTTATACGAAAAATTCAAATTGGTCACTTTGTTTCCCTAAATTTACAATTTATATCAGTTATTTTTGGTTAAGTTTTATTTCAGTTTTCTTCCTCTAACTCAACAAATTAGGGTATATTGTGTTATTAGGGTTTAACAATTTGGGGCAAAATCTTGGCTTGAAATCTAAATTGTGAGGTATAAGGAAAATAAAAAAACCAAACCAAATTAAAATGAAATCAACAATTTACCAATATATTTTGGTGCTCTATCACCTTGATTACATCTCCTTGCCATCCGAAGTCGCAACATGGTTCTCACTACTCAATCGATTTAGGCTTCAATATAACATCCAATCCGTGACGTTATACCTCACAATTTCAATTTCAACCCAAGATTTTCTCCAATTTGTTAAACCTTAATAGCACTAACTTATTGAGTTAGAGGAAGAAATTGAACGTGCTTCCTTAAAAACAAAACAAAACAAAACAAAACTGCACTTAATGGAAGATAACAGAATGTCTTTAAATTGTAAACTTTGGGAAACACAGTGCCTAATTTGGCTAAATTTTTTTCTCAGTGACAAAATAGAATTTTCGTATAAAACACGGTGACCAAAAAGGTATTTAACCTTATATGTAGAATATAGATTTTATGCTCACTAATGAATGGAAGATCATATATAGAGGCTAATTGAGAATAGTAATTAATAACTTGTTTCCTCATATATTGTATGTGGTAGCCAAGGGGGAGACTGTTGTCAAACTTGGTAGATTCCATCCAACAATGACAAAGTACAAGATTATGTGGTGTTTACAGATTATAACCCCCGCCACATCAAACACCAGCCAACAGAAAATTAATTAATTACATCAATGATATTGTTTGAAGTCTCACCTTTAAAGAAAACTGTGAAATTGCTTTAAGTTACCTTTTGACAATGAAGGATTGAATGATATGGGAGATGAAGACAACATGATTAGCATTAAACAAACAAATTAGCAAGGGCCTATAGTTTAAGTGGTTAAGAATTTCAACACCCAATATCTTAAGTTCAATTCCCCGCTTCTTTAATATCGCTTGTATATCAAAAAGATAAAAAAGCCGAAAGACGCTTTTTTTTTTATTACAAACCTTAGTAAGTTTTACCTAAAGATAGCCTTTGGAGGACAAAAGCAAACCGTCGTGGAGCTAGCAACGCCAGTGTTCATCAAGGACAATTATGGCAGCACCAACTGTCCACATGAGTCCATACTCCCTCCCAAAAACCCAACACCAACACCCTGTTATGTCATTACCAAGGCTCATCAATTTCTTCTCTCTTCACCCACCTATTTCCTCCATGGAATTTACGCCCACCACCTTTTCGACCAAATTCCCCACCCAAACATTGTTGCCTCCTCCAACCTAATTCGCCAATTGCATTCTGAATTTTGGATTGAGAATACAATGGTTGTAATTGAAAAACAGAAGGGTAATTTTGAAAGAAATTATTGAAGATGTTTTCTCTCAGAATTCGGTTAAGAAACAAACAACTAGAATTAAGTGTGATGTTTGTGACCAAAAGAAAAAACACTAGTGTGGCAGTTTAAAACATAACAAACAAACCTAAAACCGAAAGTAAAAAACAAACACAACTAGAACTGAAAAAAAGAGAAACAAAACTAAAACCTCTTAACACTTAAAATAAGTGATGATTAATTTTTACCAACCAAAAAAGAAAGTAAAATAAATTTTAGGTAACAAAAAACAAACAAAACTAAAACCTCTAAAAGCTCAAGGGCTAAGTGAATATGAATCAAGTATTTGTTTTTGTTTTTGTTTTCGTAACCGTGATAAGTGTAAATACGTGTATTTACCAAGTATGGTATAACAAGAATGTATTTTTCCTTATATGTTTTGTATTAGGTTTATTATTAATTCCAATTTCTTGCATAGCAAGAGAGGCCAAAACAAGAGTTTATAAACCAGTGGAACGCATGTGGGCAAGAGCATAGCAAAATATGACCCAGATGCGCACACAGACAGCCTAGCCTATCAAGCGAGAAAGGGAAAGCGCCAAAGCCAGAGAGAGAGAGAGAGAGAGAGAGAGAGAGAGAGAGAGAGAACAAAAGGGCGGATGGGTTTGATTGCAAAGGCCAAGAGCAACAACAGCAGCAGCAGCAGCAGTGAAAATTGGGGTATGGGTTTGCTTCTAGTTTTCTTTCCAGAAGACAACGGCACAGCCATTGTTGACAGAAGTAACATGCTTTTCTCTTCTTCATCGTCCTCTTCCCCATCTCCTTCCTCTTCATCTTCTTCTTCTTCATCAAAAACATGCACAATTTTCAGACGAACCAATTCCAATAATCTCCTTTTGTCTAAAGCCCGATCCACAATTTCCATCTGTGCCTTTTTGGTCTTCATCACCCTTCTCCTCTTCACCCTCTCAACCTTTGAACCCACAACCAAGCCTCACCCACTCATCACAACAGCCTCCAGAAGATTTCTCTCCCAAAAATCTCCACCCACCACCAACACAGGCCCCAAATTACTCAATAAACCCAATGCCACCACAAACCCAAATCACAGCTTCCTTCTCTCTTCCTCTTGGTTTGGCAAAATGTGGAAGCAAAAACAAACCAACCCAAATCTTGCTTCTCGCCGCCACCAATTTGCTCTGCAAAAAATGGGCACTCTGTACAGGCGCGGCACGAGAGCCATGTCCGATCTTGTGGTGGGCCATGTCCAAGAGGACGTCACCGAAGACGACCTCCGCTTGTTTCTGAGGCTCCTGCACAGGTCCGGCCTCACATCCAAAGCTGACGTGGCGCTCATCTTTGCTTCTTCTTCTTCGAGATTTGGCTCTGTAATTGCAGAGGAGGACGACTCGTTTTTCAAGCTCATTAACCATTACAAGGAGCTGAACAGGACGAGTCGAAAACCCAGTTCGGGTTTCGACGTGGCTCCGTTTCTGAAGCTCGAGAAGAAGCAAATTGAGGAGCCTCTGTGGGGGAAGAAGAGCACTAACTCGGAAGCTGAGTTGACTCAGTTGAGTTACGGCTCGGTTGTCGGGTTCGAGGCCGGTGAGCTTGACCCGGAGAACTCGCTTTCCGGGTTTCTAGACCACGTGGTCCCTATGAGTCTACGAAGGTGGGCTTGTTACCCGATGCTTCTCGGCCGAGTTAGAAGAAATTTCAAGCATATTATGTTAGTCGACGTCCAAAACTCGGTTGTACTCGGCGACCCACTCTGCCGAGTCAGGCACCATAGCCCCGAGTCGGTTCTGTTATTCACAATGCCACCTGGTAAGCATGGAAAGAAAAACTCTGAGTCAACTCCGTCCCACGGTCCCGTTAACTCGGTGATTATCACCGGCGGAGCTCGGGGTATCCGCCGGCTGTCGAACACCGTGTTGACAGAAATCGTTCGGGCTATTATGCAGCACAAGAGGAAGAACTCGGTCACGGAGTCAGGAATTTTGAGTCAAATTGTTGCCAACGCGTTCGTAGCGAAGAACATCAATTTGGTAACATCTACTGAGTCAATTCCGGACCCGAATTCACTCGGCGCAGCGACTGGGTTGTCGGGTCACACTATAATCCAACGTGGTAATAGTAACGCTCTGGATCTAAATTCTATTATTATGAAGCAAATTTGTTTATCAGAAATAGATACTTCTGTCTATAGGGATTGTCAGGAAACAATAAAATAAGTTAGGGGAAAAAATAGAAATCTTTATTAAGATGTTGTCAAAAAATTTCTTGCTTTTTCTTTGTTAATTTCTTCCCTCCATCCATGGCCCCAATTTTTGTTGTTACTTGTTTATAATATTGATTTAGCAATAAATTAAATTCTTGTGTATTTACTTTTGTATGGTGATGTTTTTGTGGTAATTTTTTTTTCTAGTAGTGGCAAGAATTTTTGTAGGTTGAGCACAATTCAAGCAAATACAATCAAATAGTAATTAGAGGGTCCAAGGGAGAAACACTTACATGCTATTACTGCCAATCACAGTATGTCACGTATAATAACTTTTTCACGTGACATATTGTAATTTTCCGGGAATATTTCATATAAGTTTTTATGAGTCAAAGGGGTTAAAACTTCTATTAGGTCAAACATAACTGAGTCAAGTCAACTAAGAGGCTTAGTGGGAAACAAAAAAACTAAGAAACTTAGTGCTAGAATGATTGGGTTTTCGCAGCTAAGCTCTAGCTATTTGAAGGAAACTTTTTTGAATAAAAATGGGTAAAAGACCCAACTTTTAATGCAAGATTGATGGGGGGGTTTTAGCACCAATGCAGCTAGGCTCTAGCAAATCCCTTGTTTTATCAAGCAACCCGTTTTTGTTTTATAATTATTAATGCAAAAAACTAAGAAGGAAATATTGGTGTAAGTGGGCCCATACCCCAGCTGGGCACATGAATAAATCTCTTTGCAAAGAGATCTCAAAATGGTGAAAGCAATGAAAGCAAAAAGCCAAAGCCGAAAAAGGCCAAAGGCTTGGGTTACTTGAAAATGGCGACACGTTTTTTTTTCTTCTTCCTTTTATATACAAATAATATTTAGAAGGTGGGAGATTCGAGCACAGGACCACGAGTATATCAGGACCACGAGTATATCGATAATTACTATTAATCACTTGAGCTATAAGCTCATTATGATGGGGGGGTTTTAGCACCAATGCAGCTAGGCTCTAGCAAATCCCTTGTTTTATCAAGCAACCCGTTTTTGTTTTATAATTATTAATGCAAAAAACTAAGAAGGAAATATTGGTGTAAGTGGGCCCATACCCCAGCTGGGCACATGAATAAATCTCTTTGCAAAGAGATCTCAAAATGGTGAAAGCAATGAAAGCAAAAAGCCAAAGCCGAAAAAGGCCAAAGGCTTGGGTTACTTGAAAATGGCGACACGTTTTTTTTTCTTCTTCCTTTTATATACAAACAATATTTAGAAGGTGGGAGATTCGAGCACAGGATCACGAGTATATCAGGACCACGAGTATATCGATAATTACTATTAATCACTTGAGCTAAGCTCATTATGAAAATAATGAAGCGATAAGACTTTGAATGCATGTTAATCACTTGAGTTACAAACTCGTTTTGAAAATGATGAAGTGGTTTTTTTTTGTTGGTAAAAACGGTGAGGCGTTGATCGTGCGTGCTTGTGTTCATGGGGGGAATGTGAGGCAACTACGCGTAGGGCTATAGGGGGAGGAGCATTGATGAGGAGCCATGTGCTTGTGATCTTTCTCTCCGTATTGATTTTAAATATTTCCCTGCTTTTCAAGCCCCAAAGCCAAAAAGCCTAAAAAACGTGTAATTCTTTAAGGGACTTTACTTTTCACTTTTGCCAGCCTTACAGTTTACTGTGCCTCCAAACTTCGTCTTGGTATCTAAGCTCGTGTCATAATAACAGCATGTTCCACGAAATAGTTAGATAACAAAAGTAGTTGACATTCAATTTTGGATTCTCAATTGTTTTACCAAAAAATTTCTACAATAGCTAAGATTTTGGTACTTGATAATGAGTCATTGATTCTTTTATATATATATATCGTTAGTAATGACGAATATATTTACTTATTAGGAATGAGAAAAATTATAGATCGAAAACTTATATATCAGACAGGGAGAAATGGGAATGCATCAACAACTTCCCTAATTAATCTAATTGTTGATTTTTCAGATATTAAATTATTGATTTTAATACCGAACCCGCATATGGTACAGTAGGAATTGGAATAATTCAAATACTGGAAACATGCTAAAAAAAATTCTAAGATATTCAAAAACTCACTAAATTGAGGTTTTGCATTGGTTGAATGAAAAAGTGGGGTTTTAACTTCTTAACAAATTATAATAACTATAATATTCTCCTACATTTATTTTTCAAATAATAAAATGATGAACTTTATGATTCAATAACTTGTAATCCCAGTGAATGCTGCATGTCACTAAAACAAATATTATTTTCTTAAAAAAAATACTTTTATTTCAGGGTTAATGAGATTGTAAGAAAAGTGTACGGCTATTTGTTACTCCCCATGCCGATCTTTTTTTTTAATTATTATTTTTTATTCTCACATTTCAAAGGCTCACATATTAAATACTCTTTATTTGACTTTCTTTTCCATTGATGGCATTCTGGCGAGAGAGAGAGAGTGGCAAATTTCAAGACAACCTTAAGGGACCCATTTATAGGTAAGAGATTGGCTGGTGTAGATCATGGCCCACACTTCATTTAACACATTGAACCAAAAATAAATTGACAAAAAGAATTTTATTTACACCTTGCTAATTAGATCCAAAACCCAAAAACCAAGAACTCTTCATTTTCTTTATAAAAAGTTACAGACGGTATTGAAGCCCCTTCAAAATTCATATATATATATTGTTTGCCAATACGCCATGATTAATGAGATTTTAAGAAAAGTGTACGGCTATTTGTTACTCCCCATGCCGATCTTTTTTTTTTAATTATTATTATTTATTCTCACATTTCAAAGGCTCACATATTAAATACTCTTTATTTGACTTTCTTTTCCATTGATGGCATTCTGGCGAGAGAGAGAGAGTGGCAAATTTCAAGACAACCTTAAGGGACCCATTTATAGGTAAGAGATTGGCTGGTGTAGATCATGGCCCACACTTCATTTAACACATTGAACCAAAAATAAATTGACAAAAAGAATTTTATTTACACCTTGCTAATTAGATCCAAAACCCAAAAACCAAGAACTCTTCATTTTCTTTATAAAAAGTTACAGACGGTATTGAAGCCCCTTCAAAATTCATATATATATATTGTTTGCCAATACGCCATGATGTTCGAACATGAGAGTTGAGACAACTGATCTGCAAGTGAATAGACTCCGTTAACTTGAAATTCATCTTTCAAAGTAAGCGAGGTTATCGCCTTGATAAACCCAAATGATATTAATTAATTATGGCTTTAGATTGCAAGTATGCAACAACAATAGTTAACTTACTTCCTAACTAGTCAGGACTCAGGAGTAGATTTCTCATAACTGGTCAGGGACTCGGGAAGGGTTTCTTTCTCCTTGCCGTTGGCGCAACACTTGTTCATTTACATAAAATAATAAAAATCGTGGGATCCATTTCTTTTACCATATTGAGTACTGTTATGATATAATCTTAATATCATGCATGCTTGTCAGTGTCACACCAAGTGTTAGAATTATTCTGTTTGGAACTTCATGTCCAGGTTCAAATAGGCAGCAACTAATCGTTTGTTATTTTTTGCCTTCAATTATTTTCTCAAATTTCTTCATTTTTCTATTGAAAATATTTTTATTTATTTTTATAAATAAGATAAACAAAAGTAATCAATACATTTCAAATTAACAGAGCGTATCGGGTGATAAAATATGCACCCGACTCACTTTGTCTTATACATATTGAGATTACACAAAATAGTGAATAATGTTAGAGCCTTTTTTTCTTTTTTTGACGTAGGAGGAACAGAAAATAAAACAAGCAAGTAGCCAATGAATTCCTTGATCAGATTTGAATATCATTCTCATCCACATCAATGAGAAAACTCCAATTCAGAAGACATTGCATATGTTGTGTACGTAGAATAATGAAACAAAGCTTTGGCAAAACTTGAAAATCATACAACTTACATACTCACGTACGTACATACGAAAATATTTTCATACTAGATAGTCCGACGAAGACATCATAACAACCCTGAATGTGTGTTCTGGATTTTCAATATAACAACAAAAATATTCTTTTTATGCAAGTAATATTGAGGACGTGAAATATCAGAATCTTCCGGTAAGAGAACATTATCCTTTTTTCAGGTGAATAAGATGTGAGGAAAAGAATTAGAACTAGAATAAGTTGCGAGCTTGATCTCCATTGAAGTATACATAACAGTACGGGTTTATTCGAAGATATCATCCATCGCGCACTATGTCAGATTCTAATAAGAAACAAGTTAGATCCATTTATAAATAAATTGTATTAAAATATTGCGTAATGGGTCCAAAAGGAAAGAAGTGAGAGATTATTTGGTGAAGAAGGTGAGATCATTCTCCTAAATTTTCTCCTTTGCCTTGGATGCCCACCGACGAAGTGCTTCGAATGCATCCATCCATGGTAAAAGCCAAAGAAGCCACCGACACAAATAAATGGCCAAAATGCGTCACTCATTCATCACTTCATATGCTTGAGACAATTACCAGTCCTTTCTAATTTTCTTTTGTGGTGAGATGCTTCTCGGTGGACCGTGATAACACAGAAATATGCTCAATTAATTTGACTCCACATACATAAGATCAAAGGGTTGAATTTCATTAGAGGAAATTTTGATTTGGAAAATCATTATAGTTAGGCCCACTTTATATATACCGAGAGCTTTCATTGAGGGATCCTTCAAATTAGCTTATTTGAGGAACACCTTTGTAGGGTCAACTACGTATTGTATTTCACTAATCCAAACCGTCTATTTTGTAGATACTCATTCAAAGATAATCTCTACAAAAAAATCACTTGAATCCGATATCATTTGACCACTCAATTGAATTATTGAAATTTTAGTACTTTCTTGAAGTACTGTATTCATTGATTTTGTAGGATACAATTAGATATCAAAACGGTTTCTAATTTGTCTAATTTTTTGCAATAATGATCTATAAATGTAGACTTAAATATTGGTATGAATCGTTGAAAAAAATTTCATAGGGGACCCTAAAGGGTGTCCCTCAATAGAAAATGATGTATAATTAATGGCAAATTGGGTTAGAAGATAGGACAAGACATTTTGAGTGGACTGTGTTGAGCAATTTTAGAGAATCCTCCAAACCTTGTTTTGTATATGAACACTGG